CCCATTTTGGGTAGCCAATGTCCAAGTTGCCCATCCCTGTCTACTCTGTGTGTGGAGGGGGTGGGAGTGATCTTCGCTGTAAGAATTTGTTCCCTCTTTTGACCTACTGCTTCCATAGGTGTAGGTCAAGTTCATCAAATTGTTACCAGATTACTTTTTTTTTCCTCTTCTTTCTTCTTCTAGTTGATCTCTGATCATCCAGTCATAGAAGCCAGGTCAAGTGGGTATTATCTGCAAGTGTGGGTGTTCTTGTGCATATGCCCTCTCTTTTTATCAACTGAATGCTTCACTCTCCATATTGTCGGGCTTAGCTCGCCACTTCATCGTTGTTTTTCCCTCACTTCTCCTTATGGGTGATGAGCATCGTCACCCATCAGAGCGTGTATTCCCATTGAGTCTTAGTCTTGGAAGGGGAAAACAGTCTATTTTTACCCAGCAGTCAGAGGGATCATCCCTGTTAATTTATAAGCCACATATGCTCCCATTACTGTCTTTGTAGGAGTCAGGTGTGACGCTGCAGGATAAGCACTGACCTGCTAACTGTGAAGTCGGAGGTTCAAACCCACCAGTCACTCCTCAGAAACCGTCTCGACCCACTTAACAACAATAACAAATGAGTGGGAAACGACTCGACAGCACTAAACAACCTTTGTTAAAACTGTAAGTTCCACAAGGGCAGGAACCTATGCGGTATGCTTCAGGCTGTCTCCAACACCTGAAAGGTCGCCTGGCACACAGCAAGACAAAGTCTACCTCTGCATAGTAAGTGAATGAAGGGAAGGATGTCCAGAGGAGGAAACTAAGTCCGGACGACTTCCTGGAAGAGTAAGTCCAACAGCTGGGAACGCCAAGTCCCGCCCAGACTGCGTAACGGCCAGCCCCGCCTCTTGAGACCTCGCCCATAGGTGGGGGGGGGGGGCGGGGAGAAGGGGTGTGTGAAGCCGTAGCCGGAAGCAGCCCCGGGCGGAAGCCGGGCCGGGCTGTCAGAACCCTACTCCCGGCCTGCCTCGGGTCTGCGCCCCGCCCACTCGAAAGTGGGTGAAAGGTCGACTTTGCTGGTGCTAAGGCTAGGGCGACGCGACAGAGCGAAGCGAGCAGGAGATAGACAGACAGACTGACTGGCGGACTAGGGCTGACCATGACGGACCAGCCGAAGCCCATTAGTCCCATCAAGAACTTGCTGGCGGGCGGCTTCGGCGGCATGTGCCTGGTGTTCGTGGGGCATCCACTGGACACGGTCAAGGTGCGGGACTGCGGGGGACGGATTGAGGGGAAAGTGCCCCAGGGGGGCTGCGCTAGGCGCAGACCGGAACTGAAGGGGTTCCCTGGAAAGTGTCCAGAAGTCGAGGGAACCTCTCCGCTTTTGTAATGAGGCGGAATCTAGCTCGCTCCCCAAAGAGCCCGGTGAATAACTTTTAACTGCCCACCATGAGGTCCCATTGAAAGGTCTCTGTTCGACCTCCTCTCTTGACCTTGCGCCACGTTTTTGGGGATAAGAAAGAAAAAGCGTCTCCCCAAAGCATTGATTTCAGCCCAAATTATAATTATCATCAAGGTAGAACCAGATCTCCTATAAAGCCTGCCTTACTTAGGAAGAGAGCTAAAGACACAGGCACTATTCTGGAGATGCCTTTGACACACTTCTCTGGAGCCCAAAATGCCCTGCTACTATCTCCTTCCCATCTTTCTCGCCCCAGGGAGTAATCTGGTCACCTTCAACCTGTCACCCCATGGCAGATTGAGTTGCCTCCTGGGCAGAGATGTCCCTTTGTTCGGTGATGCTGTCTGCCAGAACTGAGCCTTTTCCAAGGAAGCAGATGTGTGACTTTACCCAGGACCCTCACACTTCCAGAGCCTTAGTCAAATTTATGTTCTGGGAGGCAGGAAACTCATCAAGGAGTGTTCCCTGGTCTTCACATGAGTGCCTCAGCTCTTCCCTGTGTAACACCTTTAGCAAGGCCTTAAATGCTAAAACCACATGGTTTAGATTTTGGTCTCTAGCAAGACCTTGCTAAAGGTGTTGTGCAGGGAAGTTTTCAGTCTAATAGTTCTGTACACAGACTTGGAGAAAATTGGCAAGTCATTAGGAAGATACATGAGTCTTACAGGGTTGGAGGAGGGTTTAGGGGTCTTGTTAGCATGTTGGATCAACTTTCCTACACAGGGAAACAGCTATGAGATGTTTTCTCATGTCAGGCATGGTCAGCAGGTTCTTTGCTGCCTTTCTATAGATGAGGAGCTGCCCCAAAGTAGAGTTAGTACTGGGGTGATTCTAGAGTCAAATGTGGATTAAAGCAGCCAGGCTGGTCATGTTGAACATGAAATCAGACATTAATTTATTTCAGCTGATGGTAAACGCTATGTGTGCTATTGTTGTCAAGTGTTATCGAGTCAGTTTCTACTTCATAGCAACTCTGGGTATGGTTTCTGAGGAGCAGCTAATGGGTTTGAACCACTAACTTTAAGGTTAGCAGTCCAATGTTTGCCCTACAGCACCATACTAGATTCCTGATCCATGTAGGCAGAGATCTTATTCCAGGTGCTTAAAGCAAAATTTTGTTTTTGTAGTTGTTGAGAATATGTACAGAAAAACATTTACCAGTTCAGTGGTTTCTGCTTGTATAATTCAGTGACATTGATTATATTCTTGAGTTGGTAATCACTTTTGCCCTCCTTTTCTGAGTTGTTTGTTTCAGACATTTTCATTTAGGAAGTTGTTCTTGTTCTGTGCCATCAGGTCAGTACTGGCTCATAGCCATCCTATGCACAACAGAATGAAACACTGCCTGATCCTGGGCCAACCTCACAATTGTTGCTATGCCTAAGCGCATTGCTACTGCCACTGCACCACTCCATCTCATTGGGGATCTTCATCCACTTTACCAAGCATGATATCCTTCTCTATTGACTTGTCCCTCCTGATAAAATGTGCAAAGTATGAGGGATGAAATCTGGCCATCTTGGCTTCCAAGGACCACTCTGACTGTCCTTCTTCCAACACAGATCTGTTTGTTCTTTTGACAGTCCATAGTACTTTCAATATTCTCCTCCAACACCATAATGCAAATGCATCAATTCTTCTATGGACCTCCTTATTCACGGTCCAACTTTCTCATGCATGTGAGGTTATTGAAAATACCATGCCTTGGACCAGGAGCACCTTAGTCCTCAAACTGACAGCTTTGCTCTTGAACACTTTAAAGAGGTCTTGTGAAACACAATATGTCCTTTGATATCTTGACTGTTGCTTCCGTGAGTTTTGATGGTTGATCCCAGCAAAATGAAGTCCTTGACAACTTCAATCTTTTCTCCATTTATATGGATGTTGTATATTGGTCCAGTGGTGAGGACTTTTATTTTCTTTACATTAACATGCAACCCATACCAAAGGCTGTGGTCTTTGATCTTCATTCAGCAAGCAAGGATGCATCATTTGCATATTACAGGTTGTTACTGAGTCTTCATCCAATCCTGATGCCACATTTTTCTTCATGTAATCTAGGTTCTCAGATTGTTTGCTCAGTATACAGATTGAATAAATATGGTGAAACAGTACAACCCTGGCACATACTTTTCATAATCTTAAACCATTGGGTGTTCCCTTGTTCTGTTTTAACATCTGCTTGTTGGTCTATGTACATGTTCTTCATGAGCACAATGAAGTGTTCTGTAATACTCAGCATAGTGGTTATGAATCAGGCTGCTAACCTCAAGGTTGGCAGTTCGAAACTACCAGCTGTTCCGTGGGAGAAAGATAAGGCTTTCTGCTCTCGGAAAGATTTGCAGCCTTGGAAACCCTGTGCAGGGTGACTGTGAGTTAGGACCGACTCTACGGTGCTTAACAACAATAATACTCATACATCTCAATGTTTGTCCATAGCTTGTCATGATCTACACAATCAAAAACTTTTTGTAGTCAGTAGAGCACAGGAAAACATCTTTTTGGTATTCTCTGCTTTCGACCAAGATCCATCTGATATCAGCAATGAGAGCCTTTGTTCTACGTCCTCTTCTGAATCAGCTTGAACCTCTGGAAGTTCTCTGTCAGTGTATGTTTGCAGACATTTTTGTATTACCTTTAGTAAAACTTTACTCATGTGGGATATCAATGATATTGTGCTATGATTTCTGCATTTCATTGGATCACCTCTCTTTGGAATGGACACAAATACGGATCTCTTCCAATCTGTTGGCTAGGTAGTTGTCTTCCAAATTTCTTGGCATGGTTGAATGGGTAAGTGCCTCCAGTGCCACATCAAGTTTGTTGAAAGATTTCAAGTTGCATTTCATCTATTCCCAGTGCATTGTTTTTTTGCCAGTGACTTCAGTCCATCTTGGACTTTTTCCTTTAGGATCATTGACTCTTGATCATATGCTACCTCTTGAAATAGTTGAACATTGGCCATGTGTTTTTGGTACAGTGACTCCATGTATTCTTTCCATTTTATTTTGATGCTTTCTATATCATTCAGTATTTTGCCCATTGAATCCTACATTACCACCAAGTCAAGGTTTGAATTTTTTCTTCAGTTCCCTCAGCTTGAGAATTGCTGAGCGTGTTCTTCCCTTTTCGTTTTCTAATTCCTGGCCTTTGCACATTTTGTTATAATATTTAACTTTGTCTTCTCGAGCTGACCTTTGAAATTTTCTGTTCAGCTCTTGTACCTCCTCATTTCTGTATACTGGAGAGAAAGTTTCAGAATCTCTTCTGACATCCATTTTGGTCTTTTCCTTCTTTCTTGTCTTCTTAATGACCTTTTGCTTTCTTCCTATATGATGTTCTTGATGTCATCCCACAACTCTTGTAGTCTTCGGGCTTTAATGTCTAATGTATCAAATCTGTTCTTCAGATGATCTCAAAATTCAGATGGGATATATGCAAGGTCATATTTTGGTTCTTGTGGACTTGTTTTCATTTTCTTCAGCTGTAGCCTGAATTTGCATATGACCAATTGATGGTCTGTTCCACAGTCTGCCCCTGACCTTGTTTTGGTTGATGATATGGAGCTTTTCCACCATGTCTTGCCACAGATGTAGCCAGTTTGATTTCTGTATATTCCATTTGGTGAAGTCCATGCATATTGTCTTTTATGTTGTTTAAAAATGGTATTTGCAATGAAGAAGTCATTGGCCTTGCAAAATCCTGTCGTGATCTCTGAAATCATATCGATCACCAAGGACAAGTTTTCCAATAACTGATCCTTTCTCTTTTATTCCAACCTTTGCATTCCAATAGACAGTAACTATCAATACATCTTGATTGCATGTTTGATCCATTTCAGATTGAAGAAGTTGGTAGAATTGTTCAGTTTCATCATCACTAGCTTTAGTGGTTGGTGCATGAATTTGAGTAATAGTGGTATTAACTGGTCTTCCTTGTAGGTGTGTGGAGATTGTCCTATCATAGTACTTCTTTTTGATGATGAATGTGACACCATTCCTCTTCAATTTGTCATTCCTGGCATAATAAACCATGTGATTGTCAGTTTTACATGGCCAATACCTTGTTTCAGCTCACTAATGCCTAGAATACTGATGTTTATGTGTTCCATTTCATTTTTGACTATTTCCAATTTTCCTAGATTCATACTTCATATATTTCATGTTTATTATTAATGGATGTTTACAGCTGTGTCTCTTCATTTTGAGTTGTGCCCCATCAGCAAATGAAGGTCTCGAGGGCTTTAGTCCATTCATGTCATCAGGTTCAACTCTACTTTCAAAAGGCAGCTCTTTCCCAGTCGCATTTTGAGTGCCTTCCAACCTGAGGATCTTATCTTCTGGCACTATATCTGACAATATTCTGGTGCTCTTCATCATGTTTCAGTATTCAGTAATCTGGTATTGACATGTTACACTGATTTCATAAGGCTTTCAGTGACTAAATACTAGGAAGTAGTCTCTTTTTCCTAGTTTGTCTTTGTCTGGAAGCTCATCTAAAACCTGTCTGCCATGGGTGACCCTGTTGTTAAGTTGGTAAGTGCATTCGAGTCGATTCCGACCTTTAGCAACCCTGTATAGGGTTTCCAAGGAGCAGCTGGTGAGCTTGAACCGCCGACCTTGCAGTTCAAATGGCTTTGTAGTCTGGTGCATTAACCTACAATGCCATACCAGGGTGACCTACTGGTATTTAAAATACCCATGGCATACCTTCCAGAATCACAGCAATACACAATCCACCACAGTATGCAGACTGACAGATGATTGGTGGTATCTAGGAAGAGATCTTGTTAATTCCAGATATTTTAGTTTGGGGAATTCTCTTTAAAGAAAAATAAAATCTTTATTTGCCTTAATGGATAAACAAAATTTGGTGTATCCATAAAATAGAATATTATTCATTAATAAAAAGAAATGAAGAACCGATACATTCTGCAATATGGATAGTCTTAAAAGCTTTATGCTAAATGAAGGACGTCAGGTGCAAAAGACCCCAATTGTAAGATTTCATTTAATGAAATGTCTAAAATTGGCAAATCCATAGAGACAGAAAGTAGATTAGTGATTGTCGTTGCTGAAAGGCAGGAGGAATGCAGAGTGGTTACTAAATACATTTCTAAATTGTAATGATGTAATTTAATTCTAAATTGTAATGATGGTTGCACTACTCTGTCGAGTATATTAAAAACAATGGAATTGTACACTTTAACTTGGATTAATTGTATGGTATGTGAAAAAAGAGTCCTGGGGTGGTACTGTAGGATAAGCACTGGACTGGTAACCACAAGGTTGGCAGTTCAAACACATCAGTTACTCTTGGAAACCCTATACAAGGTCATTATGAGTTGGACCTGACTCTATGGCATACAACATGTGAAAGGAAAAAAAAAAAAATGTTGGCCCTGCACTCATTTGAAGGATTGGCTTCCAAGTGTATCACTCACATGCTGACAGTTTGGTATTGGCTGTTGTCAGGAGGGCTCATTTCATCCCAACATGGGTCTCTCTAGGCTGCCTGAGTGCCCTACATCATGGTGGGTGACTTTCCCCAGAGCAAAAATTCTATAAAGAGAGCCAGGAAAGGCTGCCCTTCTTATCGCTTAGTCTCAGAAGCTGTGTAGCATCAATTCCACCACATTCTATTAGTTAGAAGTAAGTTACTGATACTGATCTACATTCAAAGGTAGGGAATTAGGATTCTTTTCTCGTCTTTTGAAGGATGAGAGTGTCAAGATGTTGGTAAACTGAGCTGAAAACTACTACACTAGGTAAGAGTCCTGGTGTGGCGCTGTGGGCTAATGCGTCAGACTGCAAAGTCGTTTGAATTGCCAGGTCGATGGTTTAAGCTCACCAGCTACTCTTTGGAAACCCTATACAGGGTTGCTATGGGTCGGAATTGACTCGATGGCACTTAACAACAACTTGCCCTAGCATAGTGATTCAGAAAGTGAGAGGAAGAAATGAGGATTATGGGAACCTCTTGACAGGACCACACCAAGGAAGAGCAACTGGAAATAGGTGATGCTAGGGTTCGAATTCCACATAGACTAGGAAAATTTCTGTGATACAAATAGGGTATACATTGTTGTTGTCATGTGCTATCGAGTCGGTTCCGACCCATAGCGACCCTGTATAGGGTTTCCGAGGGTGTAAATCTTTACGGGAGTAGAAAGCCTTATCTTTCTCCCGTGGAGCAGCTGGTAGTTTCGAACCGCTGACCTTAAGGTTCACGGCCCGATTCGTAACCACTACGCTACCAGAGCTCCTTATAGGGTATACATAAGGAGGGTAAAATTCTGGAGACTTTTTGAGGCAAACTGGAAACTTTGAATCGAAGAGCTTTTGGAAATGTAGACATAAAGTTGGTGGGGATGGAAGGTCTGGTAATGGCTGAGTAAGAGTCATCACTTAGAAAAAAGTTACAGCCCTGGATTGGACCAGAGAAGTAGGGTATTAAACCTTGGGGAATGCCTAGGGCAAAATGAAGACAAAAGAAGGAACACTGAAAAGGGAGATTTGAAGAGAGACAGTTTGAAGCATTAAATACACCAAAAAATCAAAAATGGTAAGGACAGAGAAAAGTAGGATGAAATCTTCCTCACCCCAAAATACTTTCGTAGAACACTGTACTTAACCACAAGGATCCCAGCTTGCACGCTGGGTTAAACATTGGACAACTAACTGCAAGGTCAGTGGTTCAAACCCACCAGCCACTCTCTTGTAGAAAAGTAAGACTTTCTGCTCCTGTAAAGATTTACAGTCTTGGAAACCATATGGAGCAGTTCTCCTCTGTCCTGTTGTTATTGTTAAGTGCTGTCGAGTCAGTTCTAACTCATAATGACTTTGTCTAGGGTTTCCAAGTAGCTGCTGGGGGGTTTGAACCACCGACCTTGCAGTTCAAACCTACTTGTGGCCCAGTGCTTTATCCTGCAACACTACACCAGGACTCCCTCCTCTGTCCTGAGGGTCGCTATTGGTCAGAATCGACTCACTTGGCCATAGGTTTAGATCCTAAACATGTCACTAGAAATAAGTGGGATGGTGGCTGAGAGCTTGAACTTTGACATCAGTCTGGTTTGGCCTGAGCCCACCTTCTCAGTTATTGGAGTCACTAAGCCCACTCTTGTCTGTAAACTTGGAATATCTATTCCATTGGGTCACTGTAGGATTTATTAACTGAAAAATAAAATAGTGAAGGTAGTGGGTAAAAAAAAATAAGAGGAACTGCTCCTCAGTACCTTTCACAATATTTATTTAATCTATATGCTGAGTGCAAAAAATTATCCAAACCCTACCTCTGTGATACTGACTACTCAACTAGGTTCAATAGTCCATTGCAGTTGCCACACAGAACTCAGACATGTTCACAGTTATGGGGTTTAGTAAGAAACTTAACAGGTTACAGGACCAGAAAATGCACAGCACACAGTTCTGTCAATCAGGGCAGCTTCTCCTCAGTCATGCCGACAGGCAGAATTCTCTGCCTGGGTAATGTTAACAAAGCTGCTATAGGCTACTGAGTGTCCACAGGACACACTACTCCACAATAAGTCTGAAGACACTTGGCTCTAATAGCTCCATGGGTCAGCAAACCTAGCTCTCCCACTTAAGTGCCTGTAGGCACCCTACTTTACAAACAAGCCTCCTGGCCAAAGTCATTCAAGTTTACTTGCTCCATAGGGTGAAAATCCCATTGCTCTGTCTTGTGCTCTGGTTCTTGGTTCTGCTACTGCTGCTCCTCTGCCACTCCTCTGGTGCCACTGCTCTCTGTTCCTGGGTTGAGGATTCAATGCAAGGGATCTCAGGTCCAAAGAGGGACATGCTCTATTCCTGGCTCTTCTTCTTTAATGGTAGTAAGACTCCCCTTCTGCTTCTGAGATGGTTTACCTTGTTTGTATACTAGAAATACATTTGTTAACTTCGTTTAGTTTCTACAGCTGAATCATGTCATCCTATTATTATTTTCTTCTATCTTCTCTTACCTGGTCTAGACCCACAGAGTGGAAACTTTGTTTGGTGGGAATTAGACTTCCACCAGAAGAGACATTAGATAATTCACTGTACCACACTGAGCAACTAATCCATGACATTAGATTATATGAAGAAGAATGTAGTACCAGGATTAGTGGAAGACTCATTAACAATCTGCAATATGTAGATGACACAGCCTTGCTTGTTAGAAGTGAAGAGGACATGAAATACTTACTAATGAAGATTAAAGCCTACAGCCTTCAATGTGGATTGTACATCCATGTAAAGAAAACAAAAATGCTCACAACTGGACCAGTAAATAACATCTTGATAAGTGGAGAAAAGATTGAAGTTATCAAAGACTTCGTTTTCCTTGGATCCACAATAAAGGGCCATTCATATAAGCAGGTGTCAAGAAATGAAATAATGTAATGCATTGGGCAAATCTGTGGCAAAATACCTCTATAGAGGGTTAAAGAGCAGAGATCTCACTTAGAGAACTAAGGTGCACCTGACCCAAGTTATGCTATTTTCAGTTGCCTCATATGCATGAGAAAGTTGGACAGTGAATAAGGAAGACTTGATGCATTTGTATTATGGTGTTGAAGAAGAATATTGAAAATACCATTTTTTCACTGCAAGAAGAACAGAAAAATCTGTCTTGGAAGAAGTTTAGACAGAATGCTCCTTAGAAGTAAGGATGGTGTGACTTAGTTGCTCATATTTTGGACATATTATCTATCAGGAGGGACTAATGTTTTGTTCTGTTGTGCATAGGGTTGGTATGAGTTGCAAACGACTCGATGGCACCTAACAACAACAGCCTCTTAAACTCTAAAAACTAATAGCTTTTAAGTGTAGGATTCGAGTAAATTGGAGGAAAGAGAAGTCGGGACCTGGCAGGTTAAGTAGATGCTGAAGACATGGGCATCTCAGGTACAGATTTTCCTGTTCATATTTTGGCACAGTTGGGTCATTGCTGCTGATAGGAAGTTCTGAAACTGGAAGGTTTTTAAAATAAATTTAATTTTAATTTCTGGTTTCAGGTCCGACTGCAGACACAGCCCCCAAGTTTACCTGGACAGCCTCCCATGTACTCTGGGACCTTTGACTGTTTCCGGAAGACTCTTGTTAAAGAGGTATGGTGTCTTGATGTTGTGCATTCTCTCACTCAGAGGGACATACTCACAGGGTTTGGTTTGCTGCTCACCCAGGTGGGTAGGGCGACTTCACAGTTCGCTGGAAGTCTAACCCATGTTTGTACCATACCAGGAGCTCCTTCTGTTGTGTCTGCTCTGAAGTCTTAGATAATGTCAGCTGTTTTTGTGTGTGTTTTTAGCTTTTTTTTTTTTTCCCTGTTTTAATGGTTTCTTATCTTTTGTTGTTATTGAGAACAGCAGCAGAACTTATATTCAACAAGCTCTGTATGTATAATTCAGTGACATTGACTACATTCTTTAAGTTATTTAACTTAAATAATTCAGAATAATTCTGAATTATTCTGCTTTCATGAGCATAAACTCACTGCCACCTAAGTTTCCTGTCTAGTCTTTTGAGTTGCATTGTTAATTTGATCCCTTATAGATAGTTTAAGGAGCTCTGGTAGCGTAGTGGTTACGAATCGGGCTGCGAACCTTAAGGTCAGCGGTTTGAAACTACCAGCCGCTCCGCGGGAGAAAGATGAGGCTTTCTACTCCCGTAAAGATTTACACCCTCGGAAACCCTGCACAGGGTAGCTATGGGTCGGACCCGACTCGATGGCACTTAACAACAACAACAACAAAATAGATAGTTTAGGAGTCCTGGTGTGGTGCTGTGGGCTAATGTGCTAGACTGCAAAGTCGATTTGAACCTCAAGATCAGTGGTTCAAGCTCACCAGCTGCTCCTCAGAAACCCTATACAGGGTCGAAGGCGCCTAGCAACAACAACAACAACACAGAGTTTAAGAGAACACAGTGCTCAACGAAGACTTCCTTTGTAATGCTAAGCTAATAGTTCCTATGAAGTAAAAATGGTTCTCTCTTTGGAAGGCAGAATTAAGACCACAGGAAATTAATGAGAAATAATTGGAGATATGAAATGGAAGAAAAATTTCAATCTGAATCCGACAATTTGCCAAAGGTCAGTGTCAGAAGCTCATGTGAAGTTTGGAGGAAAAGTCTTAGAAACACTGAATGAGGTTGACAGATTTTCCAAATCTATAAACAAGAGGACATTAAATCAGTTCAGGGTTACTAGATTACCTAATTTTCAGGTATTTTAAATTGTGAAAACAAAGAATTTAAAAAGAAATGATTAGTTATTAGTGATATTCATTATTCATATCATTGTTGTCATTGTTAAGTGTCATCAAGTTGGTCCTGATCCATAGAGACCCCTTATAGCCTCTAAAACTCTAAGAACTGTATAGGGTTTCTAAGGAGCGACTGGTGAGCTTGAACTGCTTACTTTGAGGTTCAAACCAACTTTGCAGTGCAGCGCATTAGCCCATAGCACCACACCAGAACTCCATTCACATTATTAACCTGTGTGTAAAAAGACCTTGTTAGGAAATTTTCTCTTCCTTTGCTTTCTAAAATATAACTCTCAAATGAATAAACACTCTAGTAAATATGTAGAATTTATTAAATGTATAGGAAGTGAGAGGCAGTATCACTCAGCCTTGAAGAAGGAAGAGGTGGTTCCCAGGGTTCCTGCAGGATTTATCTATGGAAGGAAGTTCTCAAGGTAGCTCCATGGGTGAGGCACTGCTGACGTTTCTTCTGTCAGGCACTCCTCCTTGCATGTGTAGTGTCTAGAACAGAGTCCATTCAGTGGCTGATGGCACCTCTAAGCTCTGGTCAGCTTAGCGTCCTCAGCCCTTACAGATAAGAGGCAATTTTTAATGCCTCTTGGTTGGCAAACATTATTGAACATTTGCCTGGGGGCTATGCAGTGTGCTAGATGCTGGGGACCTGGGGGAAAATTGCTTGTATAAACCCAACTGACTGCAGAATCAAACAGGAGTCCTTAGTTTTTGCATGTCCTGGTTTTGCTTTGCCCTACTGAGCTCTCTGCTTTCTGGAACAGCTCAGTAGTGTTGCATATTGCTGAATGGGCTGGCAGAGTGGAAGGAAGGCAGGACAAGTTGTCCCAGGCCTGGGCTTGGCCTACTCAGACCAAGTAGGGATCTGTGGGAGGTACTTTGGAAGGATTTTGTCACTAATTCTATATATCTTCCTGTGAACCTGCCCTGTCCCACTCATCCTTTCCTGTTTATTGTCTCTGTACTTTGTGCATGGTGAGGCTACCTGTAGCCTATAGCAGTATTAGACTTTTGCAGGATCCAGACAGGTACACTTGTAGCCCTTTGGTTTTGAGAAGCAGATGGTTGAGAACACCCAAGGTCTGCAGCCTACTAAAAGACTGGTAGCAAAGTAACAGTGTTCTTCTACCACTTCCCTCAATATCTAGAGGCACCTCCTTTCGCCTCTTTCGGTTATTTATGGTGCTTCTAGTTACCCATTTCTATGTAATATGCGCTTACCACCTACTTTATATACATTTTAAATGTGTATTGTTGTTAAGTGCTGTCAAGTTGATTTTGACTCAAAGTGACCTGTATAGGGTTTCCCAGGAGCAGCTGATGGGTTTGAACTGCCAACCTTGCAGTTCACAGTCTATAGTGCTGATCCTATAGCATCACACCATTAGCTACCCATTTATGGTAGATAATTTTAGCTCTACATTTTCTATACCCTCTCAAACCTGCCCGTATAACTTTATATCACACTTTGTAGTATAATCTTTTCATGATTATAACTTTGTATGTTTCCCCCCACTTTACCAATTAATGCACTATGATGTGATCTGCATTTCATTTCATGTACAGACTATTTTCCCCCTCTGGGGTTGAGTTAATAATTGTGCCATTGTTAATTTCTTCATTTTGGTTTTTTTTAGTCTGTTATCCTGTACCGTAACTACTCTATAGAATCCATCTTTACTGTTCTACTACCCAAACAGCTATAGCCTGTTGTTCTAATGTGGGTTGTTTTGCTCTGTTTTTGTTTGTTTCTCCTGGGAAGCATCCCTCCTGGAGTTCTCTGTGTTCCTGCTCTCATCTGGACCTGTTTCTTCTAGGCTCTTTGTGCCCAGTGTCATCTTGGCAAGCCCCTTCACCTCTCTTGGGGAGAACACCTAGTCTCCCGGCTCTGAGATCTTGCCTGTCCTTGTCTTACTACTTTGTTTAGTTGGGATGTCCATCTCTCTATCTTTTTGTCTAATTATTTATTGGGCTACCATATAGTTGCCTTCATTCATGTACTGGTTAAAATTGATATGCAGCTCTAATATTGTTTCTTTTTAATGAAAATTACACATCTGAGTACTTGGAAAATACATTAATTTCCTAACCACCTATAATTTAACCTCAAGGAAATCAGATTACCTTGTATCTAACCTATTTTGTAGCTTGCTTTTTTTCACTTATTAGACTCCTCCCTGGTTACAGTGTGATATTATGAATATGTAATAGTCTGCTTAGGAGTAGGAGCTCTGGTAGCGTAGTGGTTACAAATCGGATTGTGAACTGCAAGGTCAGCAGTTTGAAACTACCAGCTGTTGCGCAGAGAAAGATGAGGTTTTCTGCTCCCGTAAAGATTTACAGCCTCAAAAACCCTGTACAGGGTTGCTATGAGTCAGAACCGACTCCATGGCACATAACCAACCAACCAACCAATAGTCTGCTTATGGAATTCCCATAATTTATCTACTTTTGGGGAGTTTTAGGTTCATTCCAAAGCTTGGCACCTTATAAATGCTTACCACCATTTTTTGTACATGTCTGTATATTTCCTTAGAATAAATTTATAGATGAAGAATTTTAGGGTAAAAGGGTATATACATATTGCCTGATTGCTGTGTAGAATGGAGCCTATTTCCACATCCTCCAGCAATATAAAGAGGAACGTATTTCTGATAAACATAAACTTTTTTTCTTTTATATTTTGTAGCTCTCATTATTTGATGAACAGGTGAAGTAAGAAAGCTATTGGTTAGAAAATACACTGTTCCCTGTTGCCACTGAAACAGGGAAAGTGTCTGTAAGCGGCTCCTACTTCATTGGTTTCTTGCAGGGCATCACGGGACTATATCGAGGCATGGCCGCCCCCCTCATTGGCGTCACCCCAATGTTTGCTGTGTGCTTCTTTGGATATGGTTTGGGGAAGAGACTGCAACAGAAATCTCCAGAGGACGTGCTCAGGTGAGTACTGTGGGCTCAGATCACCCAGTTCTCTGTTCTACCTGATGTTGTGTCATGGGTAATGGGAAAGAACATTGGCAGACAGGGCTGTCCTATGCCCCTGATACAGGCTTCTGGGATCTCTGCAAGAGGGAGACTACCTCCCCAATTGTCATAATTTCTCCTGGGGATATTAATAATAATACCAACCCCATAGTGAGTTGAAGGTTGGAATGCTAAAATGTATATAGAATACTGTGAGGAGTACCTAGTGCTGCAGCAACCACAGCAAGAGCACTGTTGTTTTCTATCACCTGGCTGAGAAAAGAGATTCCAACTTCTTGGTTTTTTTTTTTTTTCTTAATGTTTTATTGTGAATTATGTGATAGTTTACATGGGAGAACATTAATTTTACTTTCATCCTATAGTATATCATTTCATTGCTATGGTTACAATCCCATCCATGCATCATCAACCATCCAAAGGGTATACACTACAAGCATGCCCCCCGATCATCAGCACCCAGCCCCTCTCTCTCTCTGTGTCTAAAGTCCCCACAGCTCCATCTCTCCACATCCAATTTCTTGTTTTGCTTTTATTTTATTATAACATTGTTACAATATGATTATAATTATTTCAGATACTAGTTTCTCTGTTAAAGTGAAATAAGTTAGTGTGTTTTAGTAAACTTTTGAGAAGTTGGATTTGAATGTTCAGAGCCAGCTGAGTTAGAATTACAGCTCAGAATTTACAAAATCATTGATGAAAACAGATAGCCTTCTCAAGATGTAGGGGAATTCTGAGAAACATCACATGACAAGTTGCCTTTAGTCTGAGCTGAGCAGGAGCTGTAGGCAGCACAGAACCCACAGTGGCTGACCAGGCTTGGGGTCCAGAAACTTGAGACAGGAAGGCCAGGTTGCCTTGTGGTTGTCTTCTTTTGCCACTTCAGGTCACAGCATACTGAGAGTCTAGGATGTAGATAGAGGTGTTTGTAACATGAAACTCTTTCTGGAGTCCTTCGGACCCTCTGGTTGTGCCCAGCTTCTATAAACAGACACAGGTGGCCCCAAATCTATATAAAGGATACTTTTGAAGCTGTGTTTACAGCTGGTAGTCCAAATGACCCATGGACACACTTCCTCACTGTGTGCCTGGCTTTTCAGCACATGTGCTGGCTCAGCTGCAACACAGCTGTGCATGAGGCCAGTACTTTGGCTGCTGGGCTGTGTTTCTTGCAGCCATATCAGCTCTCAGAGAAACACCCTTTCTGCCTAAGCAATGATGGAGATACTTAGGACCCTATCCCCATAATCCTGTCAGTCCATCACATTAACCTTCTTGCAGTAACTTTTGAAGGTGTTGTAGAAAGTCACACTAGCAGGGTGTTGACATGGGTGAGATAGAAGCCCAGAAGGGTCCAGCTCTCAAAGATACTTCCCTAGTGTGGGTTGGGTGCTGGTGGAAGAATGGACCAGGCAGTTGTAGAATGTCCACATGGTGCCATGTGTACACACAGAGAAAGAGACCCGTTTCAGAGGTAAGTCCTCTGAAGTTGGAAAGGTGCCCAGCTTAAGGTCTGGCCATCTGGGCAGTCTAGGAAGAATGGAGCATGTTGATTTCACAGGGGGGACGTTTAGTTGCCAAGTGGGCTCTTCTTGGGGATAGCAGTATGAAGTGAGACTGTGAAGGAGGCCATGAATGAAAGCAAGTTTCTTGGCTGTGTTAACAGCTTGTGTTTTGGGCTCGTGTACCTGGGATAGCCATGTGAGCCTGACTGGGGTGAGTGCATGGAAAATCAAGGATGTTGAGAGTGATGGTACCTTCCTGGAGGGAAGGGCCTACGGTAGATGACCCCTTACCCCATTTTGCATATGTTTCTCAGGACTTAAGTTCCTTGTTCAGTTGAACCAACCTGAAGACTCAGCCATTGGGGCTTAGTATCAGGAGGAACCTGACGCAGGCTTGCACGAAAAGTTTTCAGCAACATATGCTAAGTTGTGGAGACTGTTGAAATGTTGTTCGATGTAGTTTTGTGCCCCAGTCTCTCCAGACCCTGCTGGTATTGCTAATCCCCAAAAGATAAGCAAGTATCAGAAGTGGCACAGACAGCAGTGGGAGAGAGATGCTAAGAGGCCCAAACTCCTTGGAATACTCAGTGTGGCTTGGAATACTGTGGACCCAGAGTGAGGTCCTGTATTTCTGGTTATTGGGGGACAATTTTCTTCAGAGGGGGCTACAGAACCTATCATGCTACCTGGGTAACATTGTGGCTGCTGGGCCCAGAGGAGATTCTGTCTGGGCCCTTCTTTCAGAATATTCCTTTCAGCTGACTTGGCTGCCCCTTGGTCTATAGAGATGGCCACAGCCCCTTGTCCTGACTTTGAGGCTGCCCTGATTGAGACTTAGCTTAAAATATTCTCAGGTCCTTGGCTACTCAGAGGTAAGATTGGAGGGGAACTGGGGTTTACTGAGGTCCAGATAGTTTTTTCCTAACAACCCTGCATTTTCCATCTGTGGAAAGTTGAGGCTTAGAGAGACCTAGATTTTGTTCCTAGTCTTTGTGTTTGAAAGGCCCTGGATGGAATTTATACTCTAAAGCTTCTGCTGTGACTGAGACCACTTGAGTGTGCACCTCATGCAGGTGGGCCTCATGACCAGACTCGAATTGTGCTTGAAACTGAGTCTTCTGCCCTGGAAAACGTGATATCAGAATGTATCCACTGTGATGGTGGTGTGCCATTGAGTTGATTCCAACTCATAGCAATCTATATGACAAAGTAGAACGGCCCCATTGTTGTTGTTGTTCAGTGCCGTCGATTCATAGATTCATAGTGGCCCCGTATAGGGTTTCTGAGGAGCAACTGGTGTGTTTGAACTGTTGGCCTTGCAGCTCAAATTGACCTTGCAGTCCAGTGCATTATCCTGCAATATTATACCAAGACTCCCCATTGTTGTTGTTGTTGTTGTTATGTGCTGTTGAGCCAGTTCTGACCCATAGCAACCCTATTTAGGGTTTCTAAGGAGTGGCTGGTGAGCTTGAATTGATGACCTTGTGGTTCAAACTGACTGTGCAGTCCAGTGCATTAACCCCCAGCGCCACACCAGGACTCACATATGTGTGTGTATGTATGTGTATACATACACACACACACACACACACATATATGTTGTTGTTGTTAAGTGCTGTCTAGTTAATTCTGACCCATAGCGACCCTGTACAGGGTTTCCAAGGCTGTAAATCTATGGGAGCAGAAAGCCTCATCTTTCTCCCATAGAACAGCTGGTAGTTTCGAAGTGCTGATCTTAAGATTCGCAGCCCAATTCGTAACCAATAAGCACCAGAGCTCCTTTACCATATATATATATTTATACACACACACACACACACATATATATATATATAAAACGGTGTTGGTGGTGTGTTGTCTAGTCTGTGCTGACTCATAATGACCTGTACAGTATTTCTGAGGCTATAAATCTTTACAGGAACAGAAAGTGTCATCTTTCTCCCATGGAACAGCTGCAAGTTTTGAATTGCCAACCTTTAGGTTAGCAGTCTGATTCTTGTTAACCACTCCACTACCCATGGCGTTTCCTAAAGTGGAGGGTTAGTGAAAAAGAGGAAGTCCCTCCCCCAACAGAATGGATTGACACAGTGGCTGCAACAATGGGCTCAAACATAACAATTGTGAGGACATCATAGAGTCGATATAAGTCAGAACCAACTCGACAACACATAACAGCAACAACAACAAGGAATCTTTACAAGAGCTGATCACCAGGTTTTTTCTCCTGCTGAGTGGTGTGGTGGGTTTAAACTGCCAGCCTTTTGGCTATCAGTCAAGTGCTTAACCATTATAATACCAGAGGCCCTTTTAGCACATGACTTTTGTATGAAATCTGATTTGTGAGTGGGCTTCTGCCCCCTCTAAGTACTTACTTTTAATTGCAAAGCTATCTTTTTTAGCTGGGATTACCTCTATCTTAGGTAGTTAGTCACTGTCTTGTGTAGTCACAGGGCCTTGGCTGTGGCTTTTGTTTTTAATGCAGCTACCCCCAGCTATTTGCTGCTGGGATGTTATCTGGCGTGTTCACAACAGGAATCATGACCCCAGGAGAGCGGATCAAGTGCTTGTTACAGGTAAGGGTGTGTTCTGGGTGGAGGTGGCTAGCTTTTACCCTGTGGTTATTTATCCCCTGTCACCTTTTATGAGGACTTCAGGTCAGGTATGCAAAACCATTTCAAGTTTTTCAGTAACCTGGCAGCAGCCATAGTAAAATCAGGAATCAGGACAGTATAGCAGATCAACCAAATGTCATATGCCAGACCAGACTTACCTGCCTTTTTTAGCAGCCACTTCAGGAACCCTGAAAGGTAAGTGATATCTCTCTCATCAGGTGGAAAGGAGGTTGTTCCTGCCCTAAAGGTCAGTACCCTGAGAGTGGTTAGTGTTGTTTAGAGACTGAGTATATGAACCACTTGACTGCCTCATTTATCCGCTCTTACCCTACAGGAAGGAATGTTACTGTGTTTTTCTTCTAATGACTGAAGTAATTTATTATATAATTCTTGCTAAAAATTTTTAATAATGCAAATCAGAAAGAAAAGAAATAAATCACCCATGATTCAAGGTAACAACTGCTAAGCTTTATATGTGAATACTTCCTATCTTCTTGATAAACATACATATTAAGAAATGGTATCTTTTAAAATAAAATTGCAGTTCATACTGTAATAGTTTTATAAACAACTTTTCCATATGATATTTCATAATAGTTTTCTATGTAATTGTTTTTGTCATAATTTTTAATGGTTGTATCCTATTTTATTATGTGTCTTTATCACTTATCTGGTAACAAGATAAATTATGTACCATAGAGATCTTTGTAAATAAGTTTTTGCACATGTATCTGATTATTTTCTTAGGATAAATGTCTAGAGTTATTATTGCTATGTGTAGTATGTATCTTTTGAGGTTTTCAATTTGCACTACCAAGTGCCCCTCCTTTAAAGACCTGTTACTTCCATTACTGTCACTGTGGGCACAAAAATGTTCCCGCTTTCCAGTAGCCTTTACAGTATCTACTTTATAACCAGTCTGAGAGGTGAATTAAGTTTTCAGGCTTTTAATTATTGATCAGGTTAATTATTTTAATGAATTTTAAGCGTTTGTATTGTTTTTCTTTTTGAAGTACCTATTTGTGTCCTTTGCTCATTTTCTCTGTTACTTAAAAAATTGATTTGTAAAATGTTTACCTATATTAAGGTTATTTATTACTTATTACATATTGCTTATCTTTTTCATAGTTTACATTTGTCATTTAATTTTGTATGTATTACTTTTTCATTAAATTTTTATATTGAGATGATTTATATCCATATGCAGTTGTAAAAAATAATACAAAGGTAGAAAAAGAGAAATGAAGAAATCATATAGAGTGATCCCATGTATCTTTTTACCCAGTTTTTTCCAGTAGTAACATCTTGTGAAACTATAGTACAATATCAAAAGCAGGATGTTGTTGACATTAATATAGTCAAGATACAGAACATTTCCATCAGAACAAGGATCCCTCAGATAGCCTGTTTGTAGCCATATCCACTTCCTTCCTGTCCTCAGTCCTTCCTTAATCCATGGAAATTTCTAATCTGTATTCCAAAAATAACTTTGTCTTTCTAAGAGTGTTTGATAATGAAATCATATGTGGGGTTGGATTTTTAAATTTAGCATAATCTTTGGAGAGTCATTTGGATGGACTTTTTGGTGTGGCATTATGTATCAGCACTGGACTGTGAAACCACAAGGTGGGCAGTTGAAACCCACCAGCTGCTCCTCGAAAACCCTGTTCAGGGTCGTTATGAAATGGAACCGACTCCACAGCACTTAACAACAACATATATCAATAGTTCATTCCTTTTTTTTTGTTCAATATTATTCTATGAAAAGGATGTACCACAGTTTGGTTAACCATTTATCTGTTGAAGGACATCTGAGTTGTTTGCAGTTTTTGGCTATTAACAATGAAGATGCTGTAAAGATTGTAAAAATTTTGTGTGCTTGTTTTCTTCCTTTCAGTTTTCTTTCTTTTTCAGTACAGTGTATATACAAACCCACCAGCTTTTCCTCAGAACCTTATACAGGGTCACTGTGAGTCAGAACCGATTCAGCAGCACTTAATGACAACAACATATGTGTATATATGTATATTTATACATACATACAGATATACAAACACACACATCAAAAAGTTCATGTGAAAATGGAATGAAAAGATAATTGGAGAAACCATGCAGTCAAGAAGGCAATGGAATGTTGTTGTTGTTGATGTTGTTGTTAAGTTCAACAAACTGGTCTTTTGGGTATGTACTTAGAAATGAAATTGCTAGATCATATATTATAGCATTTTTGAGTGTATATAACTTTTTTAGTAATTATTTA